GTGAATAAAATGAATAGGTCAAGAATCCTGGTGGATTATTTGGGGAAAGAACAAAATTTTGGAGAAACAAGATTGATTTCAGTTTTTGATCACCTGACCAGTGCAACTGAGATTGTGAAAACTTGATGGAATAGGAAAATGTGGTTTAATTGAACTTTCGGTTTGCTCAACTATTTCTATGATTTGTCAATATTTCTCAGGCTTCCTTAAGACAATCGTTTAAATAAAACATTGTTATGTACTTGTCATTTGTAGCTTCATAAACAGTCCTCAAAAAATTATTATTCTCGGCTAATCAACAAGCAAACCACTGAAGCTTCTGAAGTATAAAACCGCACATACCCTAAAATAAAACTGCCTTTTCCAAATTATTTTTGTTAAACTTGTGACTGTTTGAAGACTTTCGAACAGTGACACTTAAAAAATGAACTATTTATTATGACTTCCCCTTCAATGTTCAGATTCAGTATTTTTGAAGAATGCTCGAATGAGCCGTCTCCTGGATCGTTTCGTATGATGGACTTGTGCGATAAAAAAATAGATCAACAACGACTTCTATTTCGTTCACTGACTGCGCTATTTATTCGTTTATCCGCTAGAACATTACAAACACTATGCGACAATAATCAAGTATCATTCAGATAGAACATATCGTGTCCAATCTTAACGTATGATTAAAAACCCTATATTTTCAATGTTTCCAGTTTCAAATTAATTTGAAATGGTTAGTTCAAATAGGTTTTCTCCAGAATGATTTTAAACCTCTCAATTTAAATTAATTTCTTGTGGTATTGATTTGTCAATTTTAACTCGAAGTGAAAGCGCGACAAAATACCCAATTGGTAAAATCAAAATGTATTATTCAACTAGGTTTGCGAGAAAGGAAAACAAAATGACAGCTCTTAAAATCTGGCATGAGAAACGTTTTATTTATCAACCATTGTGTAAACCTAGTAAACTGATCAACAACATTTTACGATTTCGCATTCAGTTGAAATTGTTCCCATGCTGAAATAAACTTAAAAAATCCCGATAATAAATTTTAGAGAAAACCGTTTGTAGAACAAGCGCATATTGCGTAAATGCTTTTTTGATATGGATGTCAGAAAAAATAAAACCGCTAAACCAGAAAATGTCACCTTTATTTGTAGAGATCACTTTTATTCAACGAGAAGTTATACCAGCTGAAATTTATGAATTGCTATCGGGCCGCAGCGTTCTCCAATGGATAAAACGATTCCCAGTTTCGATCAATACATGATAACGTCATTTTGGAGAACACAGTCATTAGGCGTTCAAAAAGTGGCGAACGATACTGGTATCGTAAGACGGATGAGTAACATTTGACTGAATATTAGGTTCACGTTTGCAGAAATTCAATGGATCGATTTGGATCGATATAAACTCCAAGGAACCATTAAAAAGATCTATACAAGCCTACCTGGAGTATTAGCCTCGTTTTATTAGTAATACATTGAGATAACAAATGATTCGTTCTTGTCGTCATTTGATTTCAATTCAACTGGTTGACTGAATTCACGTTATACGTGTAAATCATCTTATCCTTGGACTATTATCAACGCTTCCGTATTTGGGCTATGCATAGAAGCTTTCATTTAATAAAAACCAACCATGGAAAAATCCTTGGTTTATTATAGTATATGCATCTTTCTACAAGAATTTTCGTTCTGCTACTGACCAAATAGGATATTTATCCCGTATCATTTCTTTAAGGTGCATTTTATTTGCACAATTTCGTCGATTTTGTCTCACGTTTTCTTTGTGATTAATTTTTAATAAACGACGGCTGACTTTGTGGTAAACAAGGATAACATATAAAAGTTGTTTATAATAAAGTCATGCTGTTATCAAATCTGAAACCCAGATTTTGGAGTTCTGCGTTCGGATATTCGTGCGATATCTTGCCCTGCCTTCAAGTGTGATTCGCTTCAAACCACCTGCATTTAAGAATCGCAATGAGTAGGGTAGCCGCTTTGACAGTTTAGTAATCTGACATGGTCGAAGGTTTGGAATTCAAAAGTTTTCAAAGGACTACAGAATAGAACATTAAAAAGTAGAAGTAACGATCTCACTAGCCAATCACCTGAATAATACTCAGGGCAACGCCCAACGGTCTAGGCATCTGTTTTCTGATGCAAATTAAACTCCCAACGAAAGTGAGAACTGTTTTAGAGGCTATTGCTGTAAAGACGCTTGCATTGACTCGCTTTCAAAGTGCAGCCCGCAATACATGCATAAATGCAAATACGTTGAAACTGCGTACTACCATAATCAGTCTAACTAATACACTCTTAAAATCTAATCACTGTTCAAAAATTCTTTATGCCTTTTGCAACTCTGTAGTGAGACATTATCAATGCGCGTGATTGACGTTTTACGATTGGAGAACGAGACCGATAGGTCGTAACAGCAAATCTCAAATACAGAGCAGACTACCAAAGGTTATAATTCTTTGTGAGATAGAGAACATTCGCACCACACCGTGTGACACCTCTGAACCGTAAAACCTGCAGCATACTTCAGCCGTTATCTATAATGCATACTCGGCGTGATTTATTCCCAGTAAGCATAAAATAACTGAGGACACACCTGGGTAGACTTCCCAGTTCGCTCAACGAGTTATTTTTCTTGACATATATACCCCTAAGCAGCCCAAATGAGTTGGCTGATAATCGTTCTAAATTGCTTAGATTTTTGGCCAGGCTTCGTTGAGCTCAACTCTGCTGTTAGTAGGTGCTTGTAGATGTCACAAAATTGTTAAACATAGTGCGAGAATTCACATTCATTGAAGAATGCTGCTTCATCTACATAATCGCCCCGTTTTCTACGAAATGTAGTCGACTTTACTAGCAATTATGTATGTTTAACTGGAAACTAGACAGTACGTTAAATACTTTGATATCAAAAAGTTATTTAATTTAAATTTTAGGAAAACGGAATAACACTGAATTAAGTCCTGGACGCAATCATCGTCTTTCATGTTCAAATCATGCGTTCATTTGAGAATAAATACACTTCTCATTCTATGACTGCTTTGTATACTGATAAAAAGGTATTATAAACCACTTTTGGAACAATTGTGATCGGTTTCACCGTTCACAAGTTTTACTGACAACGTCAAGATTTTGAATTTAACAGAATATTTTGTTTTACTCAATATAGGCGTTTGTGTGAACTCTCATTTTTGCTCGACTCCCACTTCGAGCCTGCTTAACTTTGTTTATGGGGGAACACAGAACAACGTCTACTCCAATAAACTCATAAAATTAACCTGTGCGTTAGCACAAATAATAAACTATCACCCATCAGTTGGTAAAATCTCGTTTTGGCCTCTCAAGAACAAAATAACTCTTCTCTTATTGTTTTGAGTGGAAAAGGGATTTATAATGTGCATCATTGCAATCAAAGAAGCAATCAAGCAAACTGCAACCAAAAGGTCGGCATTTGTCTTAACTTTCAAATTGTACAGTTTTCCAAAAGACAATATATCCCTTCTCGTCATTCGTCTTCCTTTGTACAGAGCAAACTCCTGTTGGCAAACACTGTAAATTTCTGAAACATGGGACATAGTTTACCGCTGAATAAAGCTGACCAAATGAAGACGGTGGTGGCCAATTGGTTAGTAGACCAACTAGTGACCTGGGTGTCCCGGGTTCAAACCGCTCCACGGACGCCCGTCTTTCCTATATCTGTATTTTCCCCAGGCAGCCTTTGTATGACCACAAACCGCTTTCTGAAAGTTGACTGTGCATTTGTATATTCAATAAATAGAAAAAGAAAGTAAAATACGTTTTTTATACAGCTTCGTTGATTTTGTGACTAAAAACCGTTGACAAATGTTGAGCATAAAAATTGGAAGATCAAGAAAGTTACTTAAAAAGTAATTAATTTGCTATCTGTGGGTTAGGTACTATTAGAGTACAGATAAACATTACAAGTAATGGCTTTTACAATGTTTGCATGTGATATTTATTTTAACATTTCTAATACTTCAAAAACCTATAAATACGAATTCCTTAATATTTTGATTTTATGGCAAAGGTTTTGGTGTACACGGTTGAAAATAATTATTCTAGTGCTTCACCATGTTCCAATTTCACTTTCGATGGAAAATTCAAAACTTTTCTAATGACGCCTGAGAAGTTTGCACAGGATCCACAGATTGACCAAAACCCTGAACTCAAATGAGCTCTGATTGACGTAACTGGTGAAACACCTAGAAACGGTTATGATTCGATTATCTAATATAGATATGCCATAGGAGGATCAAATCTCATTTGGGAAATGCTTTATATAGATAGGATTGTTTTTAACTGTCTAGAAACGCATCTTTTACAAACAATTGATTGAGTTATTTTACAAAACGCCTAAACTTTACAATCAAAATGTTTTGAGTTATTTTAGTATGGCACATTAGAAAGGAACTGCCAAAAACTGGATCATTTCGGGATATTCAACCCTCTAAAAATGTGCCTCCAGGCATTTTCAAATATCCATTAGTTTCGCCTAGTAATCGTAAGATGCAATATCTTCTTATTCAACCCCGATTGAATCTGGTCAAAATCCGTTACGTCCCAGTTTAATAAAATGCCTTGATTGAGACTAAAACATCCGTTATCCAAAATCAATACAAATATTCGATAATCTGCCAATAGTATACAATAAACAGAAAAATATAATAGCTACCTACGAACAACATCGATGTGCGTAATCGAAGATTACTAGGTGTGATGGTCACTCTCATTCGTGGTCATTGAGTAACTTTGGAACAAAATATTTTTCATGCTACTGGGTTGAGCGTTATCCTCTTCCGATGACTCGCTCACAACACTCGAAACATTATAAGAAACTTGCCATAACATGAATTCTTGCATGCAACTGATGTACGAGTTCATAGAAGTGAATGACATGTCTGGTGCAGTGCATTTACAAGAATGCACTCTTGCGCTGTTCGTGTGTGCAATGGACAGATGAACGTCTCACATTGCTGAGCAATTATTCCTGCGCAAAACGTTCTGTACTGCCCGTGCGGCGGTTGGTCTGTGGGACTGTTGTTCTTTATTCTCAAGTAGTTTCATCAGTTCTTTAAAAACAGTTAGAACATGCCAGTTATACTTTGCTGAACATTCCACCAAGACTGTGCCTTTCCATTGTTTTTTCACCAGCAGAGCTATCTCACGACGTATATTCATACGGGTTGTGGTGGAAGCTGCCACGGCATCGTTACAGCTCAACATTGTGGTAGCACCATAGTTTACTATGGGTAGGGTAACAGTGTTCGTGGATGGAATTCCATCCACTTTATTGGCCACCAGCAACACGGGAGTGTCAGGACATTCGGATATGATCTGGTCGCGCAATTTCCGAATATATTGAAATGATTTTTCTGAAGTCACATCAAACACGAGAAGAAAAGCGGCCGCTGACCTCAGACACCAACCACGATATTCGGCCCACTCTTCAAAAGAACTGCTTGGGTATTTTCCATCGAGGGCTGGACAATCAATAATGCGTAAATGATAAATCCGATCGTTGAATGTAACTACTGGATCGTAATATTCTGGTTCAAAAGTTGTTGGAGCTGGATTGAAAGACCCGGTACAATAAACAAATTGTTTTACAAGTGTTGTTTTGCCACATCTTCGACTACCTAAAACAGGAACCCGTGTTAGTGTTACTGTGGGAGTGGTTGCAGAGCTGACACTGTCTTCACTCTCAAGTACAATCGAACTGGGAAGGTTCCCGTTGCTTGGTTTCAAAGCAGAAAATATAGGGCCAGGGAGAGGAGGAACCTTTTTTAGGGCAACCCACTCACGTCGAGCTGGAGGAGTTTTCGATCTTACACGTCGTTCTGAACTTCGTGGCCTCTCGGAGCTCCCAGATACTTCGGTTTTAGTGGGTAGTGGCAAATGAGCAGATCTTGGTCGCGGTTTGTCCTTATTTCGAGGTGCTTGTACGTCTGCCGTATTCCGCTCAGCTTTCTCAGTGGATTTTGCGGACCGTCTTACATGAGTTTTCAAGGGAACAAGGGAGAAGAGTTCACCCGCTCGATATGAAGTACGACTGGATCCATTACCAGTACGAACAACTGCCACACCAGTGTCATCTTCATCATCCAACGTGCTCACCTGCTCCCATCCGGCAAGTCGAGCCGCAGGACTGCGAGCCGCTTGAAGGGGAATGAAACGAGTTGATTTTGCGATGGTTCTTTGAACTTGAAAAAACAAATGGACAAATAGTCCAGTGAATACATAAACAAGCGCAGGGTGAGCAATTTTCGAATGATTCAAAATAACACACACGAATGCTGCCCACAAATTAGGATGCACAAAGTGTTATACACCGACGATCTCATTGATACAAACACGATTGGAAATAGAGGATTTTTGCTTGATACTTAGTTGCTACATCCGTTTGATTTTCGGTGGGCCACCTCTGTGCATGGGTTAGAATTTTCAGCTTGGTTGTGTACCAGTCTAGGGAAACATCAAATGATTGCTGAGAATGCCTATATAGCTGATCGAAATTTGATTGGTCCCACGGTTGCGTGCGCACTGAGTTCCATCAAATCGCCACCATCAAATGAACCAATGAGACCTCCTTAAATGATTCTGACTGTAAATGGTCATATTGGGATAAAATCCGGTTTGCGATTACTGATTTTACTGTGATGGTTTATTTACCACACCAAGCCATGAACATCAGATAGGATTGAAAATCTAGCTGTTACTTTGGTTTCAGTGTTACAGGGTTTATAATTATTACCAAAATTCTAATTGTGTGCCCTGAACATAAATCTGTCACTCAACCGTCCGTGCTATACAAATTTGAGTTGATCAGGAAATGATGTTTACTTTCAGTGATGTTACGAAACCTAATTGCAGTAGATTTTGCGAAGTGTTGGAAAGAACCAATGTCACCGTACCCTACGTCTATGTTCAGCTATTTCTGGATAGAATGAGACCTATATTATATTATTCATCAAAAATATTGGAAATTAATGAATATTGGAAATGAACATTTGATTCCATTGATCCTGAGGCACTAGTTGCAGCAAACATCTTGTTCAGCGAGAGGTCAGAATAATAAATGTTGCGCGTGCACACTTGAACGTGGTGCGTAAATGTAAAAATGTTCAGCTTAATAAACACGCAGTGTCTTTTCGCAACACACCAGCTGGTCAATCGCGATAAGTCATTCAAAGAATAATGGATCCGACCATGAGCATGTGTATAATACGATGTGTAAAGATTATCGTGATACATCGATGGGACCGCACCCGGTGGCAACAGGAGGAGAATGTAAATTTGTCTTCGAAACGATAGATCACAAGCTAACATAAACTGAGAGTACCTTGTCCTGAAACTGAATAAGCTTAACCATTTATGCTTGCATGTCAATTGTAATTTCTACATTTTTGTACAAATAACAGAAACTAGAACTGTCTAATGGGGATCTTTCCATACTTGAATATGCATTGTATAGTGATCAGTTGCAGACAACGAAACTGAGCTCAATCGTTTGGTCACCAGGCTCTAAAGGAGTGAGACAATCAGTGAGCAGATTGTGTTCACTGATGCATCTTAATTTTTTTGTCTATAGTAACACAACGAAATGGGGATGCGATCTCACCATATAAGCACGGAACTGAAAGATGAATATATTGGCTTCTTCATAATCAGTTAGATTTTGTAAAAGTTTCAGATGAACGTAGCACAATGCGCATTCAATTTTTGTCGTGGTTGTCACTGTATCTCTTACAGAAGGCCCTTTGATATGAACGACGGGATCTTTACAACTGCAGCATATATAACTATACTGATCCGGTTCATTTCATGCAAAACAAAATAAAACCCTTTAGGGTATCAAGGTTGGAATAGCCAATTTGACTGTTCAGAGGCACCACGCATTCTTGATGGTCTTGATTTTCGGTTTCACTTCTTGGGAAGACGAAGAAGCTGTCCGGTGCTCTTTGTCGGTCATCACAAACATTTCCATCGCATTTCAAGACAAAATAAAACTATTTGAAATAATTATCTTTACCCGTGATTGTTACATTTTATGGTTTCACAACAACAGTGTGTTTGTGAGTGAATTTGTGAACTGGCATTTGTTTTCCTGTTGTCATGCCTGTGGGATCATTTACAGACACTCAGTATTAGTAGTTTGGTTCCGCGCCGGGTTGGTTTAACTAATCTATTTTCCTTTTGTCGTCGAATGTGCTTTCGTTCCTGCAACCTCACCCAATGAGGCATGTATTTGAGTGTATAGCATATCACGCGCGGTCGTCGAACACTCGGCCCCATTGTTTCCAACTCTCGCAATTCATTTCACACCAGCCACAGAATACAAAGAATCTGTTTGTTTGTCATTGGCTACTTTACAGTCTTATTTGATTTTGGATTTTAACGATCATACACAGCGATGCCCTCACAACCACAGCTCGTAGAGTGAATTTGCAAGCAACTGCTTTCTCCTAGTCACGATAATCTGCATGAGCGACCGAGTAGTTGAATGAATTGGAACGAACTAGTGTTTAGTTTAGTGAGAATCACAAACGAATGCGATGGTTTTGCCAAATGCTCCTCTTGTCTTGAAAGTTCCCTCGGATACAAACGTGTGCTTCCTACCAGCTTACTGATTGGATGGAATTTCGACGACCCCTTTCTCGTATGCTGTAAAATCAACCCGTACCTTCGGATCAATGCTTCGACCGTTTTCAAACCTTTCGCTGACTCTAAGATGTGTGCGTCTTCCAAAATCACAATAATTTGAGCCTTTGTTGGGACCACATCAATCAAAACCGCAACTCCCACAGTAGGAGAACGGATTCCTCCAATATCTCAATTCTATAATGCCAGAAGCTCTCAGACCTATTGGTTACTTATTATGAGATGAGATCACATAACCGCAGATTTCGAAAAACAGCTTATTTTGTTCGTTAAACAGCAATAATACATTGACCTAAGTGCCACCGTCTTACCTTGAGGCATCCATAATCATATAAACCTTATCTGCACAACAGTGAGTGCATTCTGCTCTTTGAGGTGCGGTGAGAAATGAGTTTTTATTAAATCATTCGTATCATTTTGTTTACTTTAACCAGTGTCCTAAACGTGACCCGATTCGCGTGTTTTGTATACATTTTGTTTCAATAATCAAGGTTCACGAAGTTTAATTAAGTGAGTGAGCAAAGGACAGTGAAAATCCATAAAGCAAACTCGGCTGAAACCACGGTGATGGTTAACAAACTTCAGTAAAGCAATCAATTGGATTCAGTCACTCATGATCGTCATGCTTTCGGAGAAAAGAATATGTAAATCTATGCAATCACTTGGAAAAAAATCAAAATGGAAATTAAAATTGTCCCTTTGCAATATACTGTTTTATAATAATAGACGAAGTAACTGGAATATAAGTTATCCCTTATTGATTTCTAGACTTCCCACTGAAATAATTTTGCAGGATTTCCATCGGTTAAATTGGATTGTATAATCAAATTGCTGGTATTTACAATGTCGTTTTGGAAACGGTTTGTTTGGAATTCAAAACAATCAGTTACTCCGAAGTATTCCTGTAAATCCGAAAACAAGCATCACAAGAGACTTTTTTGGGAGCCCTCGGGGGTTAGAGAATAGCATTTTAAATGGACGGTTACTATAAAAGTCTACATCAGAACATCGGTACCGGTATGCTCTAATTTGCGTTCCACTTGAGGTGGATGACACAACAATTTATTATACAATCAATTTTTCAATAATTTCTCCCTAGTTACAAGATGCACACCATTGTATTTGTACAACGTGAAGTCGGGAAATGTTTCTCTTGGTTTCTAGTTTTAGACTCAACAAATTATCGATGTGACCACAAAGAGGAAAATACCATGCAAACGTGAAAAAAATTAAATCTTCCTGAGTAAACATTGTGGTGCAGTAGACTGAATAAAACGTAACACAGTTGGAACGCATTTGTTAGTTTGATCTATCATTATTTCCAGGAAACTTCACGCTACTACTATTTGTGGAATATGATTTCGCAGAGCATTTCCTAACGAGTTTTATGCTGTTGCACTTTAATCGGCTTTCTATTTGATGTTGCATGGTAAGAAGATTTTATCCACACCATTCAATCCTTTCCCGGATGTACAATTAGTGTTTTCTGTTCTTTAGTCACATTGCGCATATTCACTTGGGTGAACACTCTTTTCTATCGGTAAACGTACTCTGCTGTTTTTTCACTTATCGTTTCCTCTAGGCAAAAGCTTTGTTTGTCCTTTAGTACCCACAAAAGTGTGTGCTATCATGATGAATAACGAATTTGACCAGTGTCATTTTTTCAACCCTAGCATTGCAGCACTTTGATTGTCTGGTATATTCAGATGTAACTTACGGTTTTCATTTTCATAGAATACATTGATTTCAGCTTGAGGTGCAAAGACCTTTATAAAATACAAAGTATGTTTGCTTGTTAACAACTACAGTACACTGTGCTCCATGGGGTAACCGAAGATGCAAAATCTCAAATACCAACGTTTTAAAGTTTATGCTGAACCCTAACCAAAATATCATGGACAGAAAGTCAGCGAACTTGAATCTATTTCCTCTAGATTAACTGTGATAAGACAAGATTGTTATATAACAGGTGAAAGACTGAAGAAACACTATTTTAAATCTTCATACCTGAATAGTGAATCACCAATGAACAAAGCTGGATTGAGAAAAATGCTGTTTGTCTAAACATTGAGCTCTAAATTTGTGGGCTTTCGAAAAAAGGTATTTTGTTTTGAGCCAATCTCATTGTAATAAAACCTCGCATAGCTTCTGCAAATAATTTGACAGCAATCAAATGGACGTGATGCATGGCAAAGCTACTGCAATCTCAGGGGATTTCCATCAAAATTTTCTTTCGACTGCCTGATTGTTATGCTTCATATGCCATTTAGACCAATATTTTACATTTTGGATTATTGTGTTTCATATGTGAAATTAAAAGACTATTTGTTTTGCTTGCGATGATAATAAGTAAGGGATAATTAGATGGATAATATTATTATTATTTTGTTCAATTTGTGGACACTTAGACAACATAAGTAGGATCGGACGCGTCGCATGAACCCAAACTAAGCTTTTATAAAGCGTATGCTTGAACATCTGAGCTACGAATCGCCACTGATAACACTGATATTTTCACATTATTTTGAACCAACCAACTGAAATGTTTGCAAAATATTCCAGCTGGTATACAGGCAACGTTGTACACGAATTTTCCTAAGAGTTCACTGGAATCCATCGATTGAACTTCTTAGGTAAAGTTACTAGTTCAAGTCAGGTTTTTAGGCAGAAACAATGTATCACGAATGGGAAAAGCACTTCCGTCTTCAGTTAAACATTTTTATTATTCATTTTGATTTGTGAAACCTGAATACCACCCAGAAACTCAAAAACATTTATTTTTCATTTTTTCTCCCTATTGCTTATGATACAGTTTTTAGGAAGACTTAAGTGGGCAATCCGTGGGCGGCCATAGAACACAATGGTTGTCAGAAGGTAGCGGTGGGATTTGAACACATATCCTGCAAAGTGCCAATCTCATGACCAAGCCAAGAGCACGTTCTGATTCCATCTTTTGTACTTTATCATTAATACCCCTACACTTATCTTCCGAATTCTGGAAGCCAGAAGCGCTTTCTGCTCTAAACACTTAGTTTTAAACTAATATATTTTATAACAGTCCCCTAAACTTTGAACGTTTATGTTTCACAACTAACCTTTTGCGCACTAACTTGGTTACATTAACCACGAGTTTGGGTAGCGAGTCTTCAAATATGCATTTGTTAAACCATGTTTTCGACCAATTTTTAATTTTGGTGTAACGACCAAAATCCTTCCAGGGTTCAGTTTAAAAGTTGTTTACCAGTTCTCGATTTGATCATAACGAAATGCACAGTGTTCCATGATTCACCAGTACTTCGGTGTGTACTAAAATGTTGCATATGACTTGCTCATAAGCGTCTAATTAAAAAACGCAACCGGAGTTTACCAAACCAATCGTGCCAGGACACAAAATGAATAACCTTTATAGCGGTATTCGATTGTGGTTTGACCACCTCTCAGTGCCAAATGATTAAATAAATAGGTTTATTCCGCAGGAATACTTTAAAATCTTCCTAATATAATAATAAAATATCCCCCTTGCTCAGAAAATGATATTTGTTATTCAGGTGTTTAGAAATGCCAAAACTGTTGAAAGGTTTCCGAGTCAACTGTGCAGGTAAGATCATGAATTCAACCACCTTGTGTTTGAATTTTATGTTTCTTCAGAAGGAGAAACTGGAATTGGTTGAAAAAAATGGATTTCCTTTCAAAAATTATTTTTTGTCTATGGAATTACCGCGGACCCCAATTGGTCAAACGGTTTCACAGTACTGGTCTGCCTTGTTCTTTTGTTTATTCAGTACTTAAATTTGCTTTCTTTCTTAGGTCTTTCCGCATTTAGAGCGCATACAACTCACTAGTACACCATCCCATGACGAATACTTGCAACTGGTTATATGTCGGAGCAAGGACAAATCACCCTAAAGGGGTTTTTTTCTAATTTTGCAGACGCCCGGAACCCGGCTGTTTGCAATTAAGTAAATAAAATGAGTGAAATCCTGCCAAATAGATTTTACCACGTGAGGATTGAATGTTCAAAATGCACAATGTTTAATTTGTATTCCTCAGATTCTTGATCAAATTCATCTTGCGCAAGGCATCACTTTCTGACCATAAAAATCACCGTGAAATGTGAAAATTGTGATTCTTTGCTTAAGACTTGTCATTCAAAAATAATCACTAAATTATTTTTCAATTTATATTTGATTCGCGTCTACATTTACTCAGATATGAAAAATGAAATACGATAATGGTTTCATGTAAAAATATAGTTGAATTGAGTCGCTTATCGGTTCTAAAAAATAGTAACAAATTACGTTCGTAAACTGGCAGATCATATCGACTTCAGATTAGAACCATCGATACGCAAATTTTTCCTTTCTTTTTATTATTTTAACTTCAATAAAGTTTTTAGTCATCAAACTGTCTAATCATCAAACGGTGGGAAATACAGTAAATTTTAGCTTGGAGGCTTTTTTGACCTTGCAGGTTGGAATTCATTAAAACATCTAAGGTTCGCGCAAATAAACCGAACCTTCAAATTGACAAGTTCTTTCTAATGAGTACTGTAACATTATTAAAGCCTTCGGTGGTGGTGGTGCAGTGGTTTAGTCGCTGGTAGCGGCGTGCTTTGGATCCTAGGATCTGAGTATCGAGCCCTGCAACCGCCAACGAACATTGAAGGTAGGCAATTTGGTCGTTTTACGGTTCATTGCCACTGGTAACATATCGGGGCCTTATATGGTTCGCCACTCCAATTCCCGCGGCTTAGGTTGCCGGTTTCCATAATGAAACAGCAGGTCCTATTGACTATGGGGCTTTCCCTGACTGCTGTTCAGCACACTCAAGTGCATACTAAAATGAAATACTACTTTGTTTACCAACTTTCTTGAACATTTATCAAACTTTTTCTACTTGCATTGAATAGAAATATAAAGTAATCACTCCCTTTTGCTTGATTATATTCAATTGGGTACTATTGCACACAGGACGGGGATATTTTGTTTTTTATCAATCTTTCATCCTATTTTCTTTTATTGAATAACTGTCGTGATACAATTCTCGAGACAAGGGTTCGCAGTCCAGAGAATGGCTCCCATAAACACACATGGAATGAGGAAAGTCAGGTGATGCTGGTGGTGTTTGCATTGGAAGACGTCTCTACTGCTTGACCATCACCCGTATCCTACGAATAATGACTGCAACTTGGCATTACCGATAGCTTATAAGTGCGAGTCAAAGATTTGGAACACTTTGAGGTCGAGAATACAAACGGTTTAGGATTTTTTGCATAGCCAAGGGCAGTTCTATATACGAGTGCTAGCTTGCTGATTGATCGA